TTTTTTTCTCACAGGACAGCACATTGATATTCACAAAAACAGACTAAATGCCTGAAATCATTGCAGATTTAAGAAACACGAAATAAATTTGTGCCTCTGAGCTTTGAATTTGTTGCCAAAACAACAAAGCTTGCCAAGCTAGTGTCACCGGGTAGGCCGGGTGATAGTTGAGATATTTTGAACAAAATATCTTGTTCCTCGATAAATTAAATTCAAATACCCAACTTTAGTATTCAAAAAGAAGCCAAAATAATGAAGAAAACAGCTTTGACTGCACTGCACTGCACTGCACTGCACTGACACTGCACTGTACTTCCTTTCTGCCAACCACACGCGCCCTTGGATGATTTTGGGGCACGTGATCAAAATATTGACGGAAATGTTCGTAAATTCAATATTTTTACGACACGTCGATCACATTCAGATTCAATTCAAGAACAGTACCTTGAGAAGGCAGGCCTGACTTCACCACTTCCAAAGCCTTCTGAACGTCACTGGTTTCGGCAACATCCAGTTTGAACGTCTTCAGTTCTTGAGAACATTCCTTTGTCAGCTTCGCTTCTCCCTCGGAAGTAAGACAGGCAAACACTCGCAAACCCAGAGCATCTAACTTCTTCGCCAGCTCGTAACCAAAAAGAACTGTCACATCCCGTGATCAGCAAGGCTTTATTTTCCAGATCCGCCACACGAACATCGCGGAACAAATTACAGGTAATGTACAAAGTTAGTACAAAAACAATAAGTAACAGGACGCCTTGAAAGGAAAATAGAACAGTTGATAAGTCCAGTAAACATGGCGGGCTAATTCCGTCAACGGGTTGGACATAGGTACCCGTGTGACAGTGATGGCTCCGTGACTGACCCGTGATGACGTACCGTGGGGGAAAAAACATACAAAGTCACGCTTTCTCCCTGAAATATTGCGGAGTCAAGCAATTATAATGTCGACTTTTGACTGGCGCGCAATATTTTTGACCATTTTTAAATGGGTCATATTTTGGTGAATACAACAAAGGAAAATCATTTTGCCAACATATGGGTTGTCCTTTGTTTTATTCTCNTTGAGAGGGCCGGCCTGACTTCACGACTTCCAAAGCCTTCTGAACATCACTGGCTTCGGCAACATCCAGTTTGAATGTCCTCAGTTCTCGAGAACATTCCTTTGTCAGCTTCGCTTCTCCCTCGGAAGTGAGACAGGCAAACACTCGCAAACCCAGAGCATCTAACTTCTTCGCCAGCTCGTAACCGAAACCACTGTCACACGCCGTTATCAGCACGGCTTTCTTCACCAGATCCGCCACACGAACATCGTGGAACAAATAACTGGTAATGTACAAAAACAATAAGTAACAGGACGCCTTGAAAGGAAAATAGAACAGTTGGTGAGTCACTAAATAAACATGGCGGTAAAACCCGTGTGAGAGTGTGGCTCCGTCACGGACCCGTGATGACGTACCGTGGGGGAAAAACATACAAAGTCACGCTTTCTCCCTGAAATATTGCGGAGTCAAGCAATAAAAATGTCGACTTTTGACTGGCGCGCAATATTTTTGACCATTTTTAAATGGGTCATATTTTGGTGAATACAACAAAGGAAAATCATTTTGCCAACATATGGGTTGTCCTTTGTTTTATTCTCCTGAGTGTGGAACTAAGTAACGATTTTTACTTAGCTCTTATTGACCGAGCAGGAGGTCTGTATGGGAGAATCTTGACAGAGGTCTGTACACACGACCGAGGTCAAGATTCTCCCATACAGACCCACTTAGCTTGGTTAATAAGATGTTTATTACATGGCAAAGAAGAGAACTTTAATTCGTTTAATGTAACTGGTTTGTACTAGCTGACATTTTGTTTGCGAACAGCGNATCTCTCAATCCGTGGATTGCCGTCTATTATCCTGAAAGACCGCCTCAAAAGGCTGTTGACGAAGATGCACTACTTATAGAATGGGAAAAAGCTATAAGAACTCCTTGGAGAGTTAACGCCGATTTTGTTCGACAGTTAGCGGAGAAATATGCGTACAAGTCTGGAAAATGGCTGATCTACTCCACGAGGTAAAATCATGGATATTCAGTTTATTCTTTCAGACTGTCCGTGGTCTCTTTACCTTATTTATTATTAAATACGATTCGCGCAATCGAGTGTCAAAGTGTATGTAAAAATGATTTACATGTTCCCGGCAAAGAAAATACGGTGTCAAAAAATAATGCGGGAAAGGTGGGGAAAAAACATGGTTGCGTCATTGTTAACATAATCAAGCAATTCCTCATTTCAATTCCCATTTTTATTTTTATTATTTCCATAATAATAATATGTGTTTCGTTCACTGTTGTGCTCGAAAACATGGGGCGGTAGATTTTTTTTATTTTCTTAGTCTTTTTTGTGAGCAGTGAGCTGACATTCTCTTGGCCTACATGGGAGATTGGGTGGTCTACGGTCTTTTTGTTCGTGCGAAACGTATTCTGGCTGTGATCATCACTAAAGCCTCGTCCACACTTCGCCGGAGAAATTTGAAAACGCAACTTTATTTCTACGGTTAGGCCTACTGTCCCACGAAAACAGGGCTTTTCCAAAACGCTCAAGGTCAAACCGGAGGAATTTGAAAACGCCGGCTTTGCGTTTAAGTGTGCACGGAAAACATTTTGAAAACGGAGCTTTTTGAAAGCGATGACGTCATGATAATCACGTGATTTCCCTGCCCGAGTTTTCCTCAAACACAAATCCAAACTGACCGCGTTTTCAAATTCCTCCGGCGTAGTATGGGAGGAAAACATTTGATACGTTTTCAGAGTGAAACCTCCATTTTCAAATTCCCACGGCGTAGTGTGGACAGGGCCTAGATATAGAACGTTTACTAGTAGTGGGTTTAGTGTCCGTCCTCATTTCCCGGTACCTGTTTTGAACACCTAGGTCCCAGCAGTGAGAGCAAACATAATACTTGTACGTAAAACAGTTTTTTTACGATAACTGCAGAAATTCTCGCGCGCTCATTGGCTACTTTTCATTGTCAATAAGAGGACAGACGCACGAATTTATAATTTATGCGATGCGTCAGCGAGCGAGAGCGGACAATTAATATAATTATTTGACAATTTATTATCGTAACAAACAAATTGACGTCAGTTTTTCATGTGTCTGTCCTGTTACTGACAATGAATTTCGTCATAACATTGTCAAAGTAGTCTGCTGATCCACAGCTACTTTGACAATGTTATGACGAAATTCATGATCAATAACAGGACAGATGCATGAAAAACTGACGTCAATTTGTTATGTGATCAGGCTCAACAGAAGAAGGGCGTTTAGGATCTTGGGAAGGTCGAAGGCGGTGACTTCTCAGCCTTCCGTTGATTCAATGCCGGCGGCGCGAGGCCTAATCGAATCTTCACATGCGATCATGCGTAAATAAACCATACTATCGTACCAGCCGAATTTTGGGAGGGATCATAATATAAGCTCCCTCCATCGACCCTGCCCCCTATCGAGAAATAGTCGTTTTCAGAAAAACAAAGTGCGCAAACAACTTACTTTAAACTTAACTCTGTTTTTTTTATTTTTACAGAATGACGGTTGCCTCGAAATATAATTCATATTTCCAATCTGTCTTTTTCTAATATTATAGCGCTCAGATTGATGAAATATGGAACTCTGTTGCAGCAGCTGTGGTCAGCGGAAGCCTTGGCTGGGCTGCCAAAGTCAGCCCACGTGACCGCGAGAAGAGCACACACGTCATTTGCGTTTACACAGAAGATTTCATGAACGAAGAGCAAGTACGAGCTGTTGAGAAAGGTCTGAGAAAAGTAGGAGTTACTTCTGTGATGAAATACAAGCCAGATGTGCACACAACGCTGGGAATTTACCGCAACAATCCCTGGGGACTGAAACCTACAATCTATACCAGTCGCCCATAAAATAAAGTGGTTATTTTTGTACCTTGGAGTGCTAATATGGATTCTGATCTCAAGCTGACTTACTACAGTTTTCATGGATTGTAACAGCCCAACATCTAACTCTTTAGAAGAATGTTCCAAGATGTTTTTCCTTTCACTATTTACTGTTTGCTTAAATCTTTTACCATTCTATGTGAAACTTGAACAATTAATTAAACGTCAACAAATGGCGAAAAGGGGGACCGAGTACCTAAAGGAGAGACTTGGCACTAGTAGGTTAAATCACGTTTCCGTATGACCCGACCTCAAAATTTCAGGAATAAGAAATTGGCTCTGATTTAACATTCTTGCAAAGTAAAATAAAAATCTGTGAGACAGATTTTTTTGCAAACTAAGAAAAACGCCTACCAAATCTTTTTTATATGGGGTTCCTGCCCAGGGTCAGGCACTCTATGTAATTTTCCAGATCTCTACCAATTTAATCTACTTGCACAATTACACACAACAATTTTAACCAGTTTTAACCAGTTTTAACTTGTGCGCGCGATACCTTGATATAGCTTTGATGTGCCATTTTCTGCGTTTTGCCGGTACCCATGCAACTTCTATTCTAATCACAGCAATATGATTTTTATTATTATTTTTCTCCTCCGACAGCAAAAGCACTAAAAACTGAACTGCGGTCTACTATTCTTGGGCTAAAACGCAAAATAAGGTCGCACTGTAATACACTGATACACAGAAAGTATCAAAGCAGCAGCTTATAAACTTTATGTACCCAATATTTGGGTAAGGGGTGAAAAAAGGGCAAAACTGCAGCCATACAAACAAAAGGAATTATACAGCCGAGTGTGGGCTTTACGCGCCTACATGTTCTCTGTCAGGTCTTCTTCCCCAAATTACCTCGGCCGCCGATTGTCTTTATTTGTTTGCATGTTGTTTGTTTTCTCGCTCTATATCCCATATATTGAAACATTATTGCACGAGCGCGCGCTGGATATGAAATGGTAGATAGCGTTACATGTTTCATAATGACTTATATATCCGCTAAGGGAACATAATAACAGCAGGGCTGTCATTAAGTTTTAATTCAACTGTAGCCTTAATCGTCACGCCCGTAGCAAACTTCTTACTTTACAGGTGAATTGTCTCAACTACAGGCCAGTTCACCCGTAACTACTCAAACTCATCAATAATTCATCATGGTTAAACAAAGGAAGTCACGACCGTGACAGTGTTTGGATATCTGATCTCAATTAGCATAGCTTTTTACGATTTTGTTTCTCCGTTTTCTCCTTAGTTTTGGTTTCGATTGAGAAGATATATCAAACACTCAAGACAGTGTTTGACCACATTTCCAAACATCTCGAAGTTCGTCAAAAATACTCCGCTGCGCTTCGTATTTTCAACTCTCTTCTCGGTGTTTGGAGATGTGGTCAAAAGACCGTGTTCGATGTATTACATCAAGGGTCCATCAAAAATACTCAGCCGTATTTACAGGTGTTACGGGTTACGGCCCTTATTGACAGCCCTAAACAGGTTAACTCATGGTCTACAAACTATTAACACCTTGTGATGGAGCACAACTGGAACATCAAATTAATGTTTCATGTTCCTTTATGGCACTTAAATCCTCACAAGGACCTACAAAAGCAGCCCCAACACTTTATCTTGTATTTCAGATGGTAGATATGAAAGTGTTCTCCAGAAAATCTTGTGATCCCATCCTATGACATACCGCAGCTTAGGTCGTGTAGAGGTCACTGCATGAGTCAGGGCATTGACAACCTTGTAAATATTTGGTGACTTCAGCCTTGGCAAATTTGTTTTACAAGATAACTTAACTGAAATGGTGAAGGAAAAGACAATTAATTACACACAGATTGATTTTATCCATGAAGTGGCTGTGACGAGTTGTTATTTCTGAGGAAAAATCCAAAACCGAGAAATAACCAATCAGAGTCGTCACACGGATCTTTGTAAAGTGACATCATCAGTATGGAATTTTTTCGGGTCAAATCTGAGACGTCACTCCAACCTCCTTCCCAGGGAACGAGGGATCCGGGATCCCAGGATCTAGATTGATGTTGTAGCTGCGAACGGCGACAAACCATGGACAAATTCACTTCAACCAGAACGTTTAATTCACGATAGGCCATGAGAACAACTCACGGTGATGCCACGATATTACAACGGTAGAATTCTCAGGAAAACACTGACAATTTGAACTAAATCTGACCTAAAAACCGAGGTAAACTTGACATAACTGAGGTTTTAACTCGGTGGCCTCGTGGTCACCGTTCGAAGAGGCCACCTCCACGCATGCGCGAACCTAAATATGTCTTCACAGGGAACCCAGCAGTAACAGATGTCACTCGAGAGGTGGTACGTAGAACTTCACGCGGAAAGCGACGTCTCTCCCAGGGGAAGGGAATCCCACATAAAAAGGATGGGGGTGCTCGTCACAAATATTGAAAAGAACTCCTAAAAGGTACCAAGATCCTCTTTTGTGGACGTGGGTTAAAATTGTTTTCACCTTTAAGAGGTACCAACGTAATCTTTCCGAGGAAATAAATGAATAGAACGCACCTCAAAGCACACAGATTTCAAAATTTTCCAGGCCCAGCTTCCATCCCCACCCCTCCCCTGCAGACGGGGTAGCCCATTGTGGCACTCTTTTGATTTCCCGCACGCACATTGCCGCCTTTAACGTGACCCAATTGTGCTCCGCCTACTTTACGATTTCCTCCTGCCACTTTATTTCAAATTGAAAACCCTGTCTCCTATCATAATTTTTTCTGCTCACTGCCCAAAAGGATACCGCAAAAGCTCCCCTTCTGGACCTTTTTGAGGCTTAACACCCTAGCTAAGGGGTACCCAAACTGCTTTTTAACTCCTAAAAGGTATGACAAGCACTCCCGTATTTTTTATATGGGGTTCCCGACACCCCCCCCCCCCCCCCCCCCCCACCACCACCCCGTGTCTCTTTCCTACGCCAAGAGAATCCAAAAAAGACCATCTAGAAATAAAGATCAAATATATTTTCTTACCTTTTTCAAAATACTCTATCCCGTAACTTTCTTTGGTGTTGGCGTCGAGGTTTTCCCACAATGCTTCTATACGTTGGACAGTCGTTTTAGTATCTGTTATGTTCGTTTTAAAAAACCCAGGCTCGATTATGTGAACTGTGACTCCAAAATGCGGCATTTCACGGCGCAAAGTATCCGAAAATGCTTGTACACTAAACTTGGAGATGCAGTAAGCTGCCGCTCCCCGGATGGCAACTCGTCCCAGGCAACTAGCAATGTTGACAACACGTCCCTTGGTTCTTTTGAGCAGCGGCAGGAATGCTCTGGTGACAGATACCATCCCCCAAACGTTAACATCAACAACTCTTTTCATTTCTTCCACAGTCTGCCATTCAATCATTCCGGGAAATGAAATTCCCGCGTTGTTTACCACTGCCCACAAACCTGCAAATACATCATGCGACATTATCGTTTGAGTTAGAGCAGTTAATTTAATTATCAAGACGGGCAGCCTCATTCACTCTCAAGTATGCCTGGTTTATTTAAATGGTCAATCTAACCGTCATAGTTATTTCACGTAGTTAAGCCTGATGTAACAGTCGAAACGTAACAATATTGTAGATTTTTTTGTTTTGCTTTCTTTTTTCGGAATCACGGTAGTTCCACGAGCGACAATGCGCTCAACAATCGACGGGTAGGTCTTTTACTTTTGCTGCACCAGCTCCATCTGAAACAAAAAAATGGTTGTCACGTGACTGTCCGTACGTGACTACCCTGAAAAATAAGAGAGTAGCACCGTTACCATAGCTAGCTTACATCTTCGATTTTGGGCATCCATGTTATGG